AAAGCAGATCCAGAGTTCCTACAGCGTAAGTGACGAGGGGTCTTCCAGTCTATTAAGAAGACAAGCCCTGGCCAGTTGGTTGCTCCGTTGATCAGAGCATTCTCCCCAGAAGCCACGGTTGCAGGTGTGGTTACCTGGTCAGAGCACATTTAAGAAGCAACTAATGAATGCATATGTAAGTGGAACAATTAATGGATATTCTCTCTCTCTCTCTCTCTCTCTCTCTCTCTCTCTCTCTCTCTCTCTCTCCTCTCCTCTCCTCTCCTCTCCTCTCCTCTCCTCTCCTCTCCTCTCCTCTCCTCCTCCTCTCTCTATCTCAAATCAATTTTTAAAAAAGACAAGAAGCAGAGCCCAAGTCATATATTGTGAAGATGTTGGGTATGCTTGCTATTTCTCTAACATTATTAACATGCTGACTACCTCCAGTGACAAGTCATGAAGCAGAAACTGGTTAGGAGGAATGATACAAGTAGAAAGAAACAATAATACTAATCATGGTAGAAATGAAAAGAATGAACATTTATTTAACACTTAACCTGGAGCCGAAGATTTAATAAAAAAAACTTTATTTACATGGAGTGTGTCATTTAATCCTCACAAATAACTTTTTGTGTTATTTGACAGTGTAAGCTGCCAGAGAATTATTCTAACTTTGCCCTGATAACAGAATGGTTGAAAAGTCAGATCCCCCTCTGCCTCTCTAAAAAATGCATCTGAGTTTGTTGAATTACAGGAATGATAGAAAGCTTCATGATCAATTGAATTCATATACATTTATATATTGTTAAGAATGACTTCTAATGAGTAAAAATATTAATGATTAGTCTAGGTTGCATAATTTCCAAATGAAAACATTTTAGGCTCAGAAATTATGAGATTTACTAAAAATCATGATTGTCAAAGATACCTCTCTCTCAGTCTGTGGCCACTTGCCCCACACATCATGACTCCACAATGCAGAGAAGGAGACTATATGTCATTCCCCTAATTTATAACAGTCCCACTATAAACACAGTCTCTTACATTCAAAAAAAACAAAACAAAACAAAAAAAAACCTCGAAAACAAACCAAAAAAAACACTGCTTTGGAGTTAATGAGTTATGTTTATGTGACCAAATGTTAATATCTAAACTGCATATTGGACTGCAAAAAAATTCTTCTTAAACTACCACAAACGATCTACGAGATAAACTTCCAAATTCTAAGAACCATAATAGATTAGAATACCTGAAAGACAGACAGCGCAATAACATGGATTCCCAATTCAGTCTTAATTCCCAATACTGAATCTGTTTTTTAAAATAATGAACTTCCCTGGCTGGTTTCTCTCAGTGGTCAGAGTGTGTGCTTACATACTGAAGGATCAGTGGTTCAAGTCCTTGTAGAAGGCACATACCTGGGTTGCAGGTTGGACCCAGGCCTGGTCAGACAGGTTCAGGAGGCAACCAATTGATGGGTCAATTTCACATTAACGTTTATTTTCTTTCTCTTCCTCTCTCCCTTCTTCTCTCTCTAAAACTCATTGGAAAAAATATTCTCGGGTGAAACTTAACAACAAAATTTTTTAAAAATAAGAAAACAATTAACCAACTGATTCATATTTAATGCCTGACATCTGATAAGAGAAGATGATGAGAAAAGAAAGTTGAGCTTAAAGAAAAGCAAAAACATAGGAAAGCCATATGGGAAACAATAAAATTGAGAAAGAGGAGTATGTGAGGCATGGGTGATCACTCAGAGAAGATGTAGAGGGAACCAAAATAAAATGGAAAGCAAAGCTTGTACAAGCTATCTGGAAGAGTTCATTTTACCTCAAAATTCTGTTTAATTAAAACCTGGCTACAATTACTACCATCAGTTGCCTGTCGGTGACATTCTCGGTAACCAACCTTATGTCCTTGTAACTCTTTAAAACTACAATGGTGATTTTCTGCTTCATCAGTATCTCATCAAATTGCTCACAAGCAAGCTCCACCCTCGCCATGCAATTAACCTCTGACTAACAACACAAAATGACAAAGATCATGGTTTAGCTAAAACATTATAGTTCGATTTGCAAATAATTTACTGTCACTTGGCTTCATGTTTTTGTTGGTTTGTTTTGTTGTTGTTTTTTGACAATTGGGAGGTGGTACATAGGTATTAAGATGAATAGTCAAAATATTCAAATTAGATACTATGAAAGCCTTCACTGTTAGAGAAAATCCTAATTATTTTTTAAAAGCACATTCTTATCAAAGCCCACTGAGGAATTAGAAACATGAGACAACCTGGAGCTATTATGGGGAAAATAATGAATATCAAGGTCAAATTTATCAACAGAATCACAATTTTAACCCTAGTTTTTCTTCCTTCTTTCCATGTTTTGTTTTGTTTTTTTATAAATATATATATTTTATTGATTTTTTTACAGAGAGGAAGAGAGAGGAACAGAGAGTTAGAAGCATCGATGGAGAGAATCATCAATCAGCTGCCTCCTGCACACCCCCTACTGGGGATGTGCCCGCAACCAAGGTACAATCCCTTGACCGGAATCGAACCTGGGTTCTTTCAGTCCGCAGGCCGACGCTCTATCCACTGAGCCAAACCGGTTTTGGCATCCAGGTTTTAAGTAACTACAAATTTGGAATTTGGCAACATAATAATTTGAAAATGTTGTCTATCTAGTTAAGACTCCATGTCACAACTTTATTAACTATGGTTTCTGTTTGGGCCAAATAATCCTCACAAATAATCCATCCTGGTAAACCCAGGTAAAAAGCAGAAATGCAAATGTAGGATGGCCAGACTATTATTCTTATTCTAACTGAAAATCCTGCCTATTGCTTTATTTTTAAACCGCCACTAACATGTTTAAATTATAATTGCATCTTCTCAATAAGCACAGTCCCTTATTATTGGAACTGGCAGGGGGCCTTGACATTTGAGTCATCATTTCATTATGTCTATTTCTTACCCTGGTATACAAATTAAATAGAAATACCAGCCAGATGAATTATGAATGGTGGGGGGAATCTGAAGCAGTAACTTTAAATTGAGTTAATTTTTCTCAAGTGAATCAAAAAATATAAAGCAATTAACATTGCTAATAATACATTCTACTGTGGCCACATTTCAAAAATATTAACTTCCATTCTAAAGCCAAATATACTACAAATCCTCCTAGCCACATATTGTACTTCTTTAAGATAGAACCAAGAGCTTTAATATTCCCTATGGTGCAAAGCTACAATGATTCCAGTTTTAACACAACTGCAAATGGGGACACAAATACACATCTCACACCTGCCTTTCAATCTAAAGAGTTTCAAAATGGATAGCAATTATTGAATATATATATATAGCACATGTGAGAAATATTATTTAAAATATTATGTGTAATCAAATATGAATAATATAGTTCATTCAGACTAAAATAGCCAAAAATGCACTAAAATGGAATCTTCAAGCTTTCCTTAGATGTTTCCTAGTCTCTGAAACTTATATGATGAAAATACGACTGGATGATTTTTCCTACATCACCTGATACAGTTATACTAAGTGCATGTGCATCCTTCCATCTTTCTCTAATATTTTGTTTTAAAAAATTTCCATTGATTTTCAAAATTATAAAAATGAATCAATTATAAAACTAATGTTGATTAAAACCCTCAGAAATACCTGACTCTGCCTTCAGGAAGCAATTTCCTTTTTGTTTTTGTTTTTTTTTTCTTGCAGGCTCTCTAGAAAATGTGTAGATTATTCATTTACTGAGTTTTTTATTGTTTCTGCAACTCTTCTTTTGGCCTGGAGCAACCAATTCATTTCTGAAAGTCAACAGCTTCCCCAAATATTGGGAACAAGCTTAACGCATCTTTACTTACCTTGATACAAAATATTGAAAAGAATCTCTATTGAAAACCAAGTGTACATTTGAATGTCTTCTCTGATGATTAGTATTCGTTTTCCTTTTAATTACTGACAGTATATTACCAAATTTAAGATAGTCATAGCTGATTTTTCTTTATATCTTATTATTTATTTTAATGTGACTTTTTTCTTAAAAAAATATTTACCTGATGGAATATATTTGTCTAAACTCAACTACTTAAAATGGACTTCTGTTGTTTTTTCATATTTGTTTATAATTTATAATCCAGATGTTCCCAAAAGGGTTTCAAAAAAATTACAATAAACATTCCTAGGTCTACTGTTGTAAGGAAATGAGTCTTTATTTCAATATTAAAATTTAATTGAAACTCTAAGATAGTTGCTTCATTTCCAACTTTTAGAAAATGCATTATTCTGCATGTTAGGACAAAACTAGAATGTAAAACAGATGTACCTAGATTATGAAATTTATAACAGAACATATTCAAAGTGTAGCTAATTCCTGACCTATATTTATTTAAGGATAAGACAAGTCCCACAATGCTGAAACCAGGGTTACCTTTTCTCTCATAATTTGTCTTCAATCAGTGGAAATATTCATGTGTCCACAATACCAGATTTTTAAAAAATATATTTTATTGATTTTTTTACAGAGAGGAAAGAAGAGGGATAGAAAGTTAGAAACATCGATGGGAGAGAAACATCGGCCAGCTGCCACCTGCACACACCCCACTGGGGATGTGCCTGCAACCAAGGTACATGCCCTTGACCAGAATCGAACCCGGGACTCTTTAGTCCACAGGCTGATGCTCTATTCACTGAGCCAAACCCGTTTCGGCAATACCAGATTTTTAATGAACCCTATCATTTTTATAATTACTATGACTCATATTAATAAATGTCTTCTTTTTATATGCTGAAATAAATTAATGGAAGAGGCAAACACTATGCAAAATGGCTGGGAATAGGGCCAAATCTTATTACATACATCCAGGGACCAGTAATTTTCTAAATGGCACTTTAAGCTCTCTTGCCTAAATAATTACAAGTACAGCCAGCATGTAATTTACTGAAATAATTATGCTCTCTCCTAGTTCCCATCACCCATCTCAAGTTCATGGCCACTTACCTTGTCTTTATTGTCCGTGCCAGAAGCTTCGGGCTTGGTCCTGATCACAAATGGGGTGGACAGTCGCAGCAGGACCCTCTCGAAGGTGGCGGTAACCTTCGGAGAAACGATCTCGAAGCAGTCCTCAAACTTGAGCACTTTGTGAGTGTCGCATCGAAGCTGCTTCCTCAGGCCTTCCCCCAGCTGAAGGACGGCCATTTGGGGGTCAAACATCAAGTGGAAAGGAAAGGCTCTGCAGAAGGTGTTGATGCTAATTCTGAGGTCCTCGGGAACCTGCGAGGTCCCCTGGGGGAGGTTCTTCGAGATACTAGCACTTTCACGTTCTTTGATAAGAAAAGTGAGACAGCTACAGTTGCCTGGGTTGGAGCCATCAGAGCATAACTCGTTCGCAACCTGTTCCACTTCCACGTCCAGCTGATAGATCTTCTTTCCCACGGCCTTAATCATCCCCAGCATGGCAAAGCCCACAGTCTGGTGAGGGTGGAAGTAGTGGAGCATGAGAGTGCCTTCAGGGAGCTCTTTGCACAGGAATGATGGTGACTCCAGGGTGGCCTGTTTTCCAAAAGAAGTCCTAATGTGTTCCAACAAAGCATCGAAGCCATTAAAGAAGTCCTGCAGCGTGCCACCGACAGCTCGAAGGACTCTCTCGTTCTCATCAAAGCATATGTTAAAGAACTCCTCACCGAATCTTTCTTGAATCTCCTCGAACTTCAATCCTAGAGGGAAATGGGAAACAAATGTTAGTGAAGGATAATATAAACAACTAAGTTTAAAGCTTTTAAATACTTATCGAATGACATAGCTAGAGAGTGAAAGAAACATCAGAGGTACACAAATCTCCCAAATAGGTTAACTCGTTCATCTTGAGTCAGAGAAAGTACATTTTATCTTCTGGATGGTTCTAAAATGTTAATGAGCATAAACCATTTTGTTGGTTTTTAAACAGACTTTACTTTTTAGAGTAGTTTTAAATTCAAAGCAAAATGGAGCAGAATAGAAAGATATTATTAATATCCAGAGTCCAGAGTTTACATTAGGGTTCACTCCTGCTTTTGTATTCCTTGGGTTATGACGAGTGTGTAATGACATGTGTCTACCATTAAAGTCTCATCCAGAGTAGTTTCACTGCCCTAAAAATTCTCTCTGTTTCACCTATCCATTTCTTCTTTCCCCAACACATGGAGCAATAACTTTTTACTTTTGTTGCTAATCTAACTTTTCTTCTCAACACCCTACTCTAATGCTGTAATTAGCACAAAATAATGCCTTTTCCTTAATGATTTCCTGCATTGTTAAAGGATCTTTAGGGAGATAACTACAAGATTGTTTCTGTATTATGTCCATCCAATATGCCATGTTACGTATCAAAATTCATCTGTTAAGTGGTAAATATCCACCAGAAAGGGCACCTGTGGTATATGAGGAAACGTGTCAGGTTACCTAGAAAAAAACAGAGGATTTAAGATAGCAATCTCAGGGGAAGTCCTATAGGTCCCCAGGGGGAAACAAAAACAAGAAATTTAAAATGGCAGAATTGTGGAATGGTTTGCATTCTTTCACCTGGAACAAAGGTAAGAACAGCCAAGAGTGGAGTAGGAATCTGAGTAGATAGAGTTAAAGGTCTTTGTTAAGTTTTCTAAGTTCATATTTATTCCTAAATTCTATGGCAAACAGAACTCTACCATATAGTAATGCAATTACAATGAAAACTTGATACACACACACACACACACACACACACACACACACTCATATTATGTAGTAATTAGAAATAGAGGCACATGTGATCAAGTAGATTCACCATTCAGGATAATCTGAGGAAAAATAAAGAGGGAATTTATGGTCCAAAGAGGAGTACATATAAAAGAGTTGAATCTGTATGCTAAAGAAAGCTTTGCCCTGGCCAGTGTTGCTCAGTTGGTTGGACCTTGTGCATGAAGAGGTTGAGCCCATGGTGGGCTCAATCTTTGGTAGGGAGAGGGCAGAAGGTAGCCAATTGATGTTGCACTCTCACATCGATGTTTCTCTTTCTCTAAAAATCAATAAGAATCGTTTTGGTTTTGTTTTTTTTTTTTTTTTTAACAAGAAGAAAGCTTCTATTAGACTCAATCTATGGCTTCTCCTTTGACTTTAGCTGTATTGAAAAACAGGAATTTAGAACCCCAAAATATGTCTCTTTGTCATGAGTTTATTTTAGGCTGATTCTTTTTAAGAAACAAAAGACTCAGGAAGGGCTTTTTACCTCCCCCTTAGCTGCCTAAGAGAATTTAGATAAACAGCCTATTCCAGAAAGAGCTTTCCCCAGAGATAACTACAAGAAATATAAGTTAGGTGTGCTAGGGCTTAGAGACCAAAGTCCTCTCTGTATCCCACTGTCTACTCACGGCCCAGTAAACAGATGTTAATCCATCTCCATGTGAACTGCCTTCCTCCCCTCTGAAGTAGCAGACTCCTACCCTTCTTCTTAGTTCACAATGGCTTATATGTCCCAATTGCTGACCATCTGTGAGGCCCATGTTCCTACGGCGCCCCAGTACATACATAATTAAATTCATTCTTCTTCTGTAAAACTGTCTCATGTCAATTTAATTCTTAGACCAGCCAGAAGAACCTAGAAGCATAGAGAATTTTTCCCCTTCCCAATAGCTAAACTCAATACATGTAGTTTATCTATATCTATATAAGTAATAGATAAATATGCTAATTAACTGGGATGCCATAACAGGTCAACCGGACAGGGGGAAGTTGCGGTGCAGCATTGGGGGGGCAGGGGGGGGCAGGGGCCACCATGAACCTGCGCTAGGGGAGGGCCTGATCAGCAATGGCAGTGACCGCTTCAAGGGCTAGAGAGGGAGACAGGGCCAGACTGACAGTGGCCACAGCTATTGCATGGCCCAGAGAGCAAGGCAGGGCCCAACTGGCAATGGCTGCAGCTGCTGGGGGCTTGGGGAGGGAGGCAGGGCTGGACTAGAAACTCAACAGTGGGTGAGCCATGCGATTTCAAATCACATGCTGGGCTCCTAGTACTATATAAAAGCCTACACAATTGGAACACTGGAACAACCAGAACGACCAGTTGCTATGATGTGCACTGACCACCAGGAGGTAGATTCTCAATGCAAGAGCTGTCCCCTGGTGGTCAATCCACTCCCACAGCCAATCTCATGCAACCAGCCGACCTCCCGAAGACAGTCAACTTCCCATGATCCCTCTCCCCAGTTAGCAGGCCCAGCTAGCAGCCAGCAGGAAGGCCTGGACTGGCAGCTTGAGGCTGGAAGGAAGGCCCGACAGGCAGCGTTGCTGGCAAGAAGGTGAGGCTGGTCAGGGGGAGAGGCTGCAGGAGGGAAGGCCCCAACTGGCAACCAGAAGGGAGGCCCCAGCCAGCAGCCAGAAGGCCCCAATCGGCCCTGATCATCTGCCAGGCCTAGGAACTCCACCTGTGCACAAACTTCATGCACGAGGCCTCTAATATATTAATATCCCTTTGCCTAGTCTACTCCATTGTATAAACAGGTCCTAGAAATTAGGCAGGATGTTAGTAGTGCCCTGCTAGAGTGCAGAGCAGAATAGGTTGTCTATGGCTTGGTTTGTTATCCCCACCTACCATGTTTTAAGGAGTGAGGGAATGGGCAGTTAACAATATTAGTTAACAAATAGAGTTTAAAAAAAAAAATCAAAAAATTTTTTGAGAAATTTCTATAGTCTAAAACTTTGGTAACCAAACTAAGTGGCCAGTTTGACAAAGAAATTCTTATAATCAATGTGAAATTAAAAGAAGTAAAAAATCTAAATGAAAAAAAGTTCCTTTATTAAGAAGCTTTTCCCATTAACTTCAGTTTCATAGAATGGATGTTCAAAGCTAGCTGAGAAAGTCACCTATTAAAATAAAAACATCAGTCACCACTCATGTAATATTGTCACCTTACAAAATTGCCCTTCAACATATGTTGCATGCACTAACAATAATACCAGCCAAAACTGATAAGAATAATATTTATCTGTCCAGTTTGCCAGTGTGGAAGAAAACAAGACAGATGACATGAACTGCAGTTTGGCTCCTGATCCAACTGCTCCACTGAAACTGCCTTTGTGATTACTTAAACTAGTACATACTGTTTTGTCCTTTCTTGTTTAACCTTGTTGTTTTTCCTTCAATTTGATTCTAACTTATCATCTCTTCCTCATAAATCTCCCTTCTCTCTTGGCTTATAAAACCACACTCTCCTGATCTGATTACTATCTGCCTGAAAATTCCTTCACTAAAACTTCTTCTGATGCCAAATTTTTACACCACCATCACTAAAAATTCTAATACCAATTAAATTTATGTTCCTTCAACAATAATGTTCTTTGTCACTATTAAAAATTTTAATTATGGCCAGCCAGTGCGGTTCAGTGGTTGAATATTGCTGTTCTATTCCAGGTCATGGCACATACCCAGGTTGTAGGTTCAGGGTGCATGCAGGAGGTAAGCCAATCTATGTTTGTTTCCCTCTCACATCTCTCTCTCTGTCTCTCTCTCTGTCTCTCTGTCTCTCTGTCTCTGTCTTTGTCTCTCTCTCTCTTTTTCTTTCTCTCTCAAATCAATTTTTAAAAATTAAAAATAAAAATAAAATATTGAGTTCTGGTCAAGATGGTAGTGTAGGTAAACATGGTAATCACCACTTCCCACAACCACATCAAAATTACAACTAAAATAAACTATCAAAATTACAACCATCATTCAGAACCACCTGAAATGTAGCTGAATGGAAGTCCTACAACTAGGGAATTAAAATAGAAGCACATTAAGACCGGTATAAGGGGCAGAGACCCAGAAGGGGATCTCGAACAAGTTGGTCCCACACCCACATATAATAGTTTAAAATTGAGAGGGATATTCTGGCTGTGGGGTTTCCCTAATGAGTGAGGGGTCACACAGCCCCATACCAAGCCACCCAGACAAGTGGTCCAGTACAGGGAGGAGACATCCTCACAACTTATGGCTGTAAAAACCAGCAGGAATTGTGGTTGAGTGACACAGAAGCTGCAGACCTCAAGCAGCTCCCTCTTAAAGGGCCTTACTCAGACATACTCCCTCTGATCTCCAGTGCTGGGGCAGCAGCTTTAAAGGAACTTGGTGTATTTGGGGAGGAACTAACTTGCTTGAAATCAGGGTGAGAGCTGGAGAGGGAGCTTTCTCCCAGAGAGAAGTGCTGGCAGAGGCCATTGTTTCTTTGCAGAGCCATCCCTATGAATATCAATCAACCTGATTGACACTTTTGCCCCATCTTGGTGATTTCCTGAGAACCCACTCCTCCCTATTTGCAGGCTCATCCAAGCCATTTCCAGTAGCTCTTTTATACAATTGGCCTCTCTTGTCTCATGCTTTGTACTCTCAAACAAGCAGCATCTGGCCTTAGCATACCCTAGGCCCACCTTGGTTCAGAAATCACAGAGAATCCCATACAAGGCAAACCCAAAGAGTCCTACACCAAAATATATCATAATTAAAATGCCAAAGATTAAAGACAAAGAGAGAATCTTAAAAGCAAATAGTTACCTACAAAGGAGCACCATATGACTATCAGTTGATTTCTCAGCAGAAATTTTGCAGGTCAGAAGAGAGTGGCAATAAATATTCAAAGTGATGAAAAGCACAGGCCTACAACCAAGATATTCTACTCAGCAAAGCTATCATTTAGAACTGAAGGTCAGATATAGAACATCCAACACA